TCAGTCTCTGATTTCCCTGGAAACGGGCTTCTAAGTTAACAGCCTACTGACCACATGTCTATTGCAGTGGAATTTTTCTTAGCTCCTATAATGGCTCTGGGGCCTGGTACCACAAGGGCACCACCATCAGCATGTATGCTTTTAGCTATATTCTCTGGCCATCACCAACTTTTAAAATGCCTACTGAGGAGCAGGTGTAGATCTTCAGGCCCCGATCTATGGGCACTTAATTCCATTGACTTTGTAGCAAATCACCATGTTCTGAAGATTCTACTATTGTTCATTGTCTCATAGATTGACCAACTCAGGCTGTGTGTTGACCGTGAGAAGTCACGAGGCAATGGGACGTGCCTAGGAGTGGGAACCAAAGACCTGTCCTCAGATCCAGCCCCACACCTAACCTGTGGGTGTGACCTTGGAAAAGGTTTCAGTGTCTTTCCTTGCAAGATGAGGGGACTAGGTAGTAGCCTACATTTGAAAATACCGTAATTGAGCTAATTTCATTGATTTGGCGAATCTTTTATTTATTTCTTTTTTTGGGGGGCAGTTGGGGTTATGTGACTTGCCCAGGATTACACAGCTAGTATCAAGTGTTTGGTCTGAGGCCGCATATGAACTCAGGTCTTCCTGACTTCAGGGCCGGTGCTGTATTCATTGCGCCACCTAGCTGCCCTGAGAATTGGTTTTTCTCTGCTCTGTTACAGCTTGCTATGGTAGCCTTTCTCTCCTCTGTCCAGATCCTCTCATAAGTCAGCCACACAGGAAGTCCACTCAACATGCCCAATGACTTCATTGATTTCTCCTGACATTGGAAAGATAGTGTTAGAGTTAACTATCAGTTATGAGGTGCTTTGAATGATCTCATTTGTTTCTCAGAACATCCCTGTGAGTTAGTGCAACTTTTATCTCAGTTTTACAGAGAAGGAAATAGGTCCAGAGTAAATAAGTGACTTGCCTCACTTCACACAGCTCATAAGTGTCAGAGCCAAGACTGTCTTAAGTCTTCTCCAAATTTAGTTTTCTTTCTCTTGATGCCAGGATGATTAAAATGGTCTCTCAAGGCTTTAGCCCTACAGAGAATTTTAACATCGCTATTAAGGGGCAGCTAAGTGGTGCAGTGGATAGAGTGCCGGGCCTGGAGTCATGAAGACCTGAGTTCAAATCCAGCTTCAAATGCTTACTAGCTGTGTGATCCAGGGCAAATCACTTACCCCTGTTTGCCTCAGTTTCCTCATCTGTAAAAGGAGAAGAAAATAGCAAACAACTCCAATGTATCTGCCAAGAAAATGTCAAATGGAGTCACAAAGAGTTGGACACAGCTTCAAAACAACTGAATAACAATAACAAATGACTATTAACACTGAGATCTCTGTTAAACATCATCCTATAGTCAGCTAGGAGCCAGTTGGCCAAATTAGACTTAATGACAAAAACCAGTTAGTTTGGCACTGCATTGACAGATGGACAGAGCATCAGTCAACAGCCTAGCCCCTTTCATTTTCCTCAGCTGTCCCCTCACCCCACTTCTATCCCCCTCCTATGAATCAAGAAGGAAAAAGACCTGCTCATTGTCTTGTCTGGTGTAAGTAGGCTACTGAAGCCCACACCTACTAGAAAACATTAGATGGCAGAACTCTAAGGACAGAAAGATCATCCTTTCTCCACCCTTCTAAGAAGCCCTTGGTTTAGCCCCTGTAACCAAGTCAAAAATTGGCCTAGGCCTATCGGCTTCCTGGAGCTATTCCCAGAGGTTAGCTATTGGCTGCCAGACAAATCCCACCCATCTCCCTTTTAATTGGCCACTGGTCAATGTATAAAAGGGAGCCTGTTGCTGAGCAAAAAAAGCTAGCAGAAGGAATGGTTTAAGGTAGTATTCTTGATCAGTGCAGGTCTACCTGACACTTCGTCTGCCAAGGCCAAGAGGAAGGTGCTATCGAGCTGTTTTGAAGACTTCTGGAGATGCTTGCAATGGTATTGATACTCCCTTAGGGGTTTCCCCACCGTGAAAAGTTCCCTCTTCCTTGATTTAATTAGAAAGGTAGCTGTTCACATCTCTGAGCCCCAGTTTTCCTTATCTGTCAAATGAGGGCTATGAACTAGATGGTCCCAAAAGAGACATCAGGGCAGCACTAGTTCTGTCATCTCGAATGAGCAGAGAAAGCCAAGGGAATTCAGCAAAGGGCAGAGAGGGGAGACAGCCCGGTGTCTGAGGATGTTGAGGGAACGCTCTTGCCTTGGGAGGCTCCAGCCTGGGAGAAGGGGATCCTGCTGGTGAGTAGGGCTCCGCATGGGAATAACAGGAGGGGTATTGTCTTGGGAAGGAGAAAGTGCAGGGAATTTTTTTTTAATGAGGGGATGTGTGGGCGTGTTTTGGGAATTAGAAAATGTTGATAGAGGGGGAGGAACCCAAAGGGATAAAGGGCACTGTCCTTGGGGAGAGATATCAGGCTGTTGGGGCATTGTGCTACAGTGAGGCACAAGCCTGAATCAGAAGTCTAGACATTTGGGTTCCAATCCGATCTCTTACCAATAATGCTTTGTGTGACTTGGGAGAAATCTGCCCCCACCCATCCCCTTCTCTGTTCCTCAGTTATTCTGTAAAATTAGGGAGTTGCCCTACATGACTTCTCAGACCCCCTTGGAGCTTGGCCATATCTTGCCCAGAAGCAGAGCCATCCTCAAGAGCTAATGGTTGGACCTCACAGCTGGTCACTATTGACAGGTTGATCCAATCTCTGCAGATCAGGCTGTTTGGGAAGAGAGGCGCTGTAGTCAGAATGCCTGGCCTGTGGCCAGAGGAGCTGGGTTCAAATTCTTGTTATAACATCACTAGCTCTGTGACGTTGTGCAAATCGCAACCTCTTTGAGGGCTCCACTTTCGTGCTCTAGTACGTGAGGGTGGACGGGAAAAACTCAAAGGTACCTTCTTTTTCTGGTACTTACTTTTAAGCTGTAGCAGTATATTCCCAGCAGAGGGCACTGTCAGCTCATGCAGATTCAAACAGGTTTTGGTTTGGTTTTTTTTTTCCCCTTCCAATTGCTGGTGTCCCTTTTAGACTTATTGGAGTGGCTTTGCCATCTTACTGTCCTCACCGTGTGGAAGGAAAGGTGTTTCCCCTTAGCATAGACACTTCTGCATAGCTCTTGTGCTGTGCCTTGGAGTCAGGATAACCTGAGTTCAAATCTGGCCTCAGACCTTACTATCTGTGTGACCATGGGCAACTCACTTAACCCCTATTTCTTTAAAAAAAAAAAAAAGGAGAAGAAAAGAGATTATTCTGGCATATGTGTAGAATGGGTTGATGGAGGCAAGAGAAGAGAAATAGAGACCAGTTAGGAGGAGGCTAATACTATAATGCAAGTGAGAAGTGATCACCATTACCTACATTAGAGTTGGGACTCAGAAAGTAGAAAGGAAGAATGGACAAGGTTTGGGGTGTAGGGAGAGACAAGAGCCAGAGATGAATCAGGTTTTCAGTGGATTATGGGGAGGGGGGAAGCCATTAACAGAAATGGGGAAATCAAGGGGATGTAACTGCCGTTAAGAAGATGAGTTCAGTTTTCCACATTCAGCTTTTTTAATTCCCAGGGATACATTTTCATGGAAATGTACAGCATGTAGTTGAAAATTTTGATCTGGATCTGAGAGCAGAGATCAGAGATTAAAAGATAAATTTGAGAGAAGTCCACAGCATGGAAGTGCTAGGAGCAGCTTGGAAAGTAAGGACACCCAAGCTGAAACTGGAGAAGTGTCAGGGACCTAGTTGCTTTCCCTACTTCCTCAAGGTCATTCAAGTCCCTGAAAATAGCATTCCTGCCTAGACTCCTTCTATCTCCATCTGTGCTTAATTTAAAGGGCTAGCTGCCATTTCATATCTCAGCTGCTGGGTTGGGATGGTGGGTGTGTGTGAGAGAGAATCCGGGAAGATGTAATTCAGGAATGGCATTGCATCAACTAGCAGTCCCTCCCCTCTGCCCCATTGCCCTCCCCCACCTGACCGACGACCTCTACCATTCCCTCTCCTCCCTTTCCTAGAGAGAGAAGGGTCATGGCCAGAAGTTTGGGGAAAATGCTCCCTTTTATGGGGGAGGAGGGAATCAAAGAGGGGAATCTATGTAAGGAGACCGAAGGGGTCATCAGCTGGTAGGTGGGAAAACCAAGATAGTTCGATGTCTTGAACAGGGAGGTGAGTTTCAAACTTGGTGCCCTGGCATTTAGAGGAGTTCAGCAATTGTTTCTTGATTGATTGATTGATTGAAGGAGCGATGGATGATTCAGTACTGTTAAATATAGTGTCAAATAGTGCGGACTAGTTAAGGAGAATAAAGGAGTGGGGAAAGACTGAACCTCCAGCAAGAGAGATTGGAGTTAGACACCAGAATGAATTTCGTAGGTAAGTTATGAAATGACCTCTGCAGAACTTCAGATATAGACTGGATTCTCTTTTGTCTGTTATGTTTGAAAGTGTAGGCCTGCTTGAGGCAAGGTGAATATACTGAAAGACCTTTTAAGATTCCCTCGGGTTCAGACCTATAATTAGCGCCAGAAATGTTCAATATTCACAGTTACCACCAAAACCCATCCTGATACCCTAAACAATCTCACCAGGAGCTTTAAATCTGCAGCATGAACGGGCATGAAATTCTAAACCCAGATGCCGTGCCCAGCCCCTAAAAAGTTGCATTTCATCATGCGATCGAAATGACTATCTGGGATTGTCACTCTCTGTCTCTCCTTTCTCGTTTACTTGTTTATGAGTAACCCTCTTGCAAAAGTTTGCAACATCCTCTAGGGTAAAACTACAACTCCCAGATCCCCTAGGGCTTCCCCAGCCCATTGGAAGATTGTCGAGAGAAGCTGTTCGAGGAGGAAAAGCGTCTCCGCCTTCTGCCGACCAGCGATTAGGTGATTGGTCGAAGCCTGAGGCTTTTGTGTCCCCGCCCTCCCCCACTCCACCCCCCTGACCTGCAGCTGGGTAGGTCCCTGTTGCGAGGTCGGATCCAGAGAAGCTAAAGGCAGTCGGGCTCGGGGATGTCGGTGAGCTGCGGTAGCCAAGACGCTCTTCACTCTAGAATTCTAAGACCCCCTGGGGCCACGGTAGAACCTGGGGCGCCCCTCGAGTAGCCACGGACCCTTTCCGTGCAGAACCGTGGGGCTGCGGACAGGTGCAGAGCCCCGCCTCGCCGGGAGCGTCTGTGACCCCAGGACCCGCTTGAGCGCTGCGCCCTCGCGGCCATCCCCGTGGGTTCCGCAGGGAAGGTGCTCGCTGGCTGGCACCATGATCGTTGCCGACGCGGAGAACTGCGCCGGAATCCAGGGCTATATTGCCTACGCCAAGTGCAGCGGCGCTGGGGCCGCGGAGGTGAGTGTCCCCCGGACTCCTCAGCCGTCCCCCCAAATCCTGGAGGGGGCGCGGTCCTGTGTCCAGCCCTCCTGGCAACGGGACAGGCTCGACGGTTGGCTCAGCTTTGGGTTTGGAATTGGGATCGGGAGCTGGGAGCTGGGGGCAGACTGTAAGCTGGCTCTGGGATTGCATCAACTGGCCGCCGCTGCCTTCCTCCTCCTCTGCCCACCTTCCCGGGGGGGGGAACCTCGGACGGCTTCTATAGGGACTGAGTGGGGGTAGGGGGAAGGAGGGGCTTCACGAGCTGACCGGAGGCTTGCCCAGTAAGCGCAGTCTTCAAGCCTAGGCATGCCTGGGCCCGTCGGAGCCGACCTTGTCCGCTTCCTTCTCGGTTTTCCACTGGGGAAAACTCGTCGGGGTCTTGGAGCTATGCCTTTGGGGAGGTGGTCGCAGAATCCTTCACTCTTGGGGCGGAAGAGGAGGAAGCTTTCGGGGCACTTGGCGACGCTCGCGGGTCCTGCCCCTCCGCACTACCCGCCGTCCTCCTTACTTTCCCTGCCTGGGGAGGGAAAACCTCGGACCCGGTTGTGGGGGGAGGGGAAGAGCGGAAAAGAGTGAATGAGAACCCGGACCGCTAGGAGTGAGGTGCTACCTGGACTGGAGTGGACAGGTGACTTCAGTAACACGGTGAGAGCTCCTGGCAAGGATTTAGGAGGTTGGTAAAGAGCTATGTTCCTCCGGGCAAAAGGGGACTCAGGAAGAGAACCTTGCAGCCCCAAGCTACTGGTCAGTTCGATAAGCCTAGCCACTCGGTAGCTGTTTGATTTAGGGCCCTTCCTGAGCCTTCTTTTCTCATCAGTGACTTGGAGCTAAATTCTTGTCCGATCTACCTTACTCACCTCGTTGTAATGAGGAAAGAGCTTTGTAAGCCGAAAAACGTTGTTGGAAGTATGAGCTATACAAGGGTCCCCTCCTTCAGGAAGCCTTCCTTGACTAACCTCATCTGATTCAGATCAGACCATTCTCCTGACCGAGTCTTCTTCCAGGACTCAGAAACATTGTTTGCATTTTGGAAAATTTGCCCTAGTGCCTCTCCCTGCCAGAAGTTTCAGTTCTGACCTCCTGAAGCCCTATGGGTGTGGGGGGATGGGGGAAAGGTGCCTCTCGCCTCATTAAGCTAGAAACTCCTCGCTTTGGGGCCTACTTCTTTATATATCAGCACCAGAAATGCGTGGAGGGTCCTGGAAAGGACCTCAGATTAAGCCTCTGGATTTTACCGAGGGAAAAACTTGAGGCTGTTGTAGGAGATTAAGTGACTTGCGTAAGGTCACGTAGATAGTAATAGATTTGAACCCCAGTCCTAAAGAGACCTTCCTCTTTTCCCCTGTATCATCTTTCTTTCCTAATAAGGGAGGACCCAGAATGACCTCACCGACCTCCTAGGGCTAGTGTGTTAACAGAGACTATATGGTTGCTCCCGGAGGTAAAAAAAAGAAGCTTCAGCCTTCTGTCCCTTCCCGATAGCACTCCCCCCTCCCACCTCCAGGTGTGTCTGGTTGTGGAAGGAGGAAGGCCGAGCTATCTGGAGGCCATGCCCCCTCACCTGATAGATTTATTCCCCAGTGGAAAACTTAGGAATCCCAGGGTCAGCAGCGGAAGATGTCTCTGTGGTGACGGAGAAGTTAATGAGTATTCCTACTGTCTTGAAAGCTGGAAGAACAAGGAAGTCCGTTCTCCTTTGCAGATTACGCTTTTTCAAGAGAACACTTGGCCGCAGTAGAGGCCGTTCAAGGGAACATTCCTGGGCAGACCCTGAGCCCAAATCCCCTAGACAATCATTTCAGGGCTTCACCAACAAAATCGATCAGACTAACGCTGATGCCACACCTATTGTGTGCAGGGCTAAAGGAGGGGGGGGCAGACACGTGATTTAGATCGGAGGTGTCAAACATTCACCTGCGCCTCTCCCCAGTTCAGCTCAAACCAGATTAAAATGTAATTGGGAAATATTTAACAAAACAAATAAAAACATAGGTAATAGTACATTTTAAGACTGAGTCAGTATGTGGCCCGGGGGCATCCCTTACGTGCCGGTTTTCAATTTGAAGTCTACACCACTGATTTAGATTTACCAAATCCTCACTCTCGAGGAACTCTCCATAGCCTATGGGGGGACACAAGGAAAACATTTAACTCTTACAAAAGAGTGTGAATAAAGGATTAATTTGGGCTCCTAGGAGGGATTTCAGGAATCTGAGGAGACCCTAGGGAGGCAGTAACATAAGCAGTGGAGATAGAGGTAAGGTTAGAGCATTCCAGATTCAGGGACTGGGGAGCCCAAAACCATATAATCGGTAGGCTAATTTGGTTGGAATGCATGATTAGGAATAAACAGAACTAAGAGTAGAAAAGTAGAAAGCCACTGAAGGGTGGCGAGCCTGGAATGGCAGGTCAATCTTTTGGAACATTGATAGGCCATAGGAAACCATTAAAGGGTTTTAACCCAGGTAAGCAAGAGGCCCCTGACCCTTTGGTTACCGACTAAGGAGAGTCTGCAGACTCCTTCGCTACTAAGTGCTGACTAAGTGGTATTTATAACCATTAGAGAGAAATGATCCTCAGTACTGGATTGGGGGAGGGGGCCTCTGATTTATACTTTGCAAATCACTTAACCTCTCGGTTCCCCAGGTAACTCTAAAACTAGAAGCCAGTCAACAAGCATTATCTCAAGCATTTATTCTGTGCCAAGCCTATGCTAAGTAGGGGAGATAATAAAGAAAATGCAAAAACCGTTCCTGCCTTCAAGGAGCTCCTATCCTCTAGGGGGAAGCAAATGTGAGAATAACAAAGACTTATACTTGGAACGGATGGTGCGTGATCTTGGAGGAAAGGTACTAGCCCCTGAGGGAACTGAAAAAGGCCTCCTGAAGAAGGGAGGATCTAAAGTTATAGCTTAAAGGAAGCACAAGGAAGGTGGGAGGGCATTTGAGGCATGAGGGCCGGAGATAGGAGATGGAAGATGGAGCGTCAAGTGCTAGCACTGTAGAGTGCTTTATAAATTGCCTAACAATAGCTGATATTCATTAGTAGGAGTCATTTCCTCATTGGAAAAAAAAAAGAGAGAGGAGATAATAGGTTTCTTTTTTTTCTCTTGTTTTCTATTGCATTTGACCTTTTTTTTCCAGGCAGACCCAGAACCTGCTGAGTAGAGCTCAGCATGAGACCTATGTCCTAGCCTTGGCTTGATGCTAATGTAAAGTGATTTCCCTTTTCTGCACTCAGTTTTCTTATCAGTAAAGGTGGGGAGGAGGTTAAAAAGATGTCCTTTTTTTCTTTTTAAGGAAATTGGGGTTAAGTGACTTGGCCAGGGTCACACAGCTAGTAAGTGTCAAGTGTTTGGTCTGAAGTCGAATTTGAACTCAGGTCCTCCTGACTTCAGGGCTGGTGCTCTATCCACTGCGCCACCTAGCTGCCCCCAAAAGATCTCTTCTAAAGACCCTTTTCTGCCCAAAATCCTAATGAGTGGTTGTTCTTCAATGAATGTATCTTGATTTAAATTTAGAGGGTTGAGCTAAAGGGCTTGTAATAAATGGGAGGGTTTTCTGGAGTCTTTTGAGAGCTTTGTAAATATCCTGCTATCCCTGTCTAGCAGACATCAGGCCTACCTCCAGGTCTCCTACCATTACTTCTCTGGGGTTCCTGTAGCCTCCTGGGACCAGAGTCTGCAAGTGGCTGCCTGAACTGACTACAGTCTGTGATAACCTGGAAGAGATAGACAGATCTTCTAATCCAACCCCATCGGTTTTTTTCTGAAGAGCAGGAAATTGTGACCTAAGAGAGGTGAAGTCACTTGACTAAAGTCATTCAAGCCAGTAGTAGTAGGGCTAGATTTCAAACCCAGGTTCTTAGGAACCAAATCCTGTATTTTACCTCTGAATCACAGCTGCCTTAGATTTGTCTTTCCTGAAATACTTATCAAACATCAAGGCACAGGGCATTGTGCTTGGGGAGGGATGGTATGTGTAACCGCTGTACCTTTACTATACCCCCTGAGAAGATACAGTGGGAAGAATGAATGGAAAAGTATTAAGTACCTGCATTCCAGAGAAGGAAGAAAAAAAAGGAGGCTGGAGATCACCTATTCTACCGTTTTCATTTTACAGAAGAAGAAACTGAAGTCCAAAGAGGCTGTGACTTGCCTGAGGGCACACAGGCGATACTGCATGGACTCCAGTCTGAGTTTCATTTTCCTCCTTTATAAAATGAGGCTGCCATTAGAGGAAAGGCCCAGTTTCAGATCCTGCCTCCAAGTCGTCCAGGAAGGTTTTGGAGGGAGGCATTTTAGCTAAGCAAGACACTTAACTCTCCTAATAGCCCTAGCAACCAGTTCATAAGCATCAGTATCCCTGGGAGTTTCCCTGTAATGACGGAGGTTTCCTCTAGTGATGAAATCACAGGCCTGGTGAAATGGGATCATTAAGAAATGTTACCTGCCCTCTTAGACAGTCCAGTCCAGTAAAAGAATGGGACATAGAAGGGTTAGGGACTGGAAGTTTTTATCTTTTTGTCCCCAGCACAATATCTGACTCTTAACAAATGTATATCCCAGAATTTGGGAGTTGGAAGGGCCCTCGGAGACCATCTAGTCCAATCCATTGACATGAAAGCTGTAGGGTACCCAACAATCTCCAGCCTCCGGCTGAAGACCTCCAAGGGGGCAGGAAGCAGCCTATTCCACTTTTTGTTGCTGTTGTTGTTGAGTCTTTGTGATCCCCTTTGGAGTTTTCTTGGCAAAGATATTGGAATGGTTTTCCATTTCCTTCTCCAGTTCATTTTACAGATAAGGAAACTGAGGCAAACAGGGTTAAGTGACTTGCCTAGGATCATGCATCTATGAAGTATCTGAGGTGAGATTTGAATTCAAGTCCTTCTGACCCTGGGCAGGCATTCTATCCACTTTTGAGCAGCTATAATTGGTAGAAATTGGTAGATTTTTTTTTCTCAATATCAAGCCTAAA